AACCATGTTAGGTAACTATCACATTGATTGTAGATGCGGGCATTATGGACGGACCCTGTAATAGGGGTAGAATATCTAAAGTACCCTTATCAAATCCCATATTCATTGCTGTACGTTCAATGTCATATACACTGTAAAATTTAGGAGATCTGAAACTTTGACCCAAGAAAAATTAACTCCACGTCTTTAGAATGCTTTTATTACTCGTGATTTATCTAGAAGCAGCAGAAAATCACTTTCTTCATCTTAAAGAGGTCTGCATACAATAAAAAGAAGAAGAAAAGTACCCGACACACGATATTTCGATGTGGTACGAGATATGTGTTCTATATTTTTTTAGTTAAACATGTACTTAAAATTACATTCAATGAATGCTTATATTAGAAGATATTATTTAACTCTGAAATATAAAACAAAAATATTAAGTAATATGAATATTTAACCATATTCATGTATCCTTTGTTTGGAGATTTGAGGTATTCAATGTGCAAATACATTCATACCCAATACAAGTACCCGAATTCAAAAAATATGTATTTACCTAAATAAAAAAAAAAACCATAAAATAGCACTCTAATTTACATCAATGCAGTGTTTCATTTCTTAATTTGAAATAGTTCCTATCTATATTATTTTGTCTGAAGCTAGTTTTCACCAATTTACAATGCCATTTTTTGCAAAACTTACGTATTCTATATGTATATTTACTTTATAACGACAATGGGCTTGTTTATCCTGAAATACAATTATTGGGGTAGGAAAAAAAAACAAGTAGAATCCAATCTGGGCTTGCATATATACCATCAATAGATCATATAGATATCATTCACAACTGTATAAAAGGGGTATGCCCTCTTTATACCTGTACGTACTGTTTCTTAATCTAATCTTATTCTTATTTCTCTCATACAAACACACACACATCCATCATAATTATTGACTGTACGATGGGCGAGTATGCCAATATTTATGGTGTTTATTGGTGGTTTAGGACCACAATACATTGCCTACGTTGAAGGTAACATCACATGTATGATATATGTCACCTATACTAGTTTAGAGCCAGACAATTTCGGAGTTGGATTGGTGACTTTTTGTTTATAAAGCCATCAATGTACCAATTAAGATTTGTCTACTTAGTGAGTTGCAACCAACTTGGCTCTTAAGTATTATCCAACTAACAACAACAATAATAAATGCAGTTTAGGAGAAGAAAAGTAAAGGATAATTCAATAAAAATGGAATATTGGAGGTCAAAAGACAAAAGAATGGTCAAAATTAAAATTTCTATATTAATGAAATTTTCTTAAAATTTAAGGTGAACATAGAAATTTAATGTATATTATATATATTTTTTCTAAAATACCCTTCTATTGTTGTTATAAAATTCTGTTACTATTCCTCATATCTAAAAAGAGAAACCCATATATAGTAACCTTTCTTTTCAAACGAACAACTAACAAACCTGAGAAATTCATCCAAAACTTTTTGTCATTTACACTTTTCTAATGATTAAATGGATTTACTATATATATATATATATATATAAATGGATTTGCTGGTTAGGTGGGTGAAATAAATAGATGGCCAATCAAAATGAAAGAATTGTTTTTGCCATTGCAGATGAACACATTCAGAAAGGGCCGGTTTAGGGGTGTGAGAGAGATTGATGATAAAATAGGTATTTTTTTTTTTTTTTTTTTTAATGGGTTTGCTATGAAACAATTGAGACTTCTAGTCTTGCAGGCCTTTGGTCACCATTAAGAGTTATTCCGCTATATGGAGAGAGGGCCTTTCAAACAAAGAAAAGAAAAAAGCTCGAGGCATTCAAGCATAGGCGATGCAGAGGCAGAGATCTATAACAGTAATAAAAGGGTATTTTGGAAATAAAAAGATGATATACATTAAATTTTCATGTCCACCTCAGACTTTGAGAAAATTTCATTAATTTGGAAAACTTAATTTTGACTTCATTCTTTTGTCCTTTGACCCACAAAATTTCATTTTTATGGAATTATCCCAAAAGTAAAAATAAAAGAAAATTCTACATAATTATAGACTACCATTATGTATTTATTGTGATTTGGATTTAATCTAAACATGAACACGGTCTCCATGTAACAATGCAGAATTCAAGAAGAGAAAAAAATAAAAAATAAAAAATCCGATCTTCTTCTTCTTCTTCTTCTTCTTCATTTTTTTTTTTTTTTTTTTTTTTTTTTTATAATGATTATAGATTTGGGTGCATTTGTAATTAGACCATGAATTACAAATGCCTAAAAAACTACGTTGCTATTTTGCGAGGCAGATTCACATCAATGAAATGAAAGTGAAGGACCTACGACAATGATGAAAACGTCCGAATAATTGACTCATCTACCAAGAAAGTCTCATGAAAACTTCCCTCCTTGCGTTTAATAACATCTAAAAGCAACTTGTAAACTTTATTATGGCCGTCCCTCATTGATCGTCCATGAATTCTGTTATCAAGAAGTGCACTCAAGTCTACTTGTACCAATTTCTCCTGAGAGGCTTAAATCTACTAGCTGTTAATAGATGGATAAGAGTATCATGATAACTCTTCGATAGAGTTCATTAATAAATATCCGAGCTCATCATTAGTTTAGTGCTGAGTTTTGGTGTTCCTAAAGCACATCTAGTTCAACTCAGCCCCATTCATATGAATCTTGTATCGTACAAGAATATGGAGGACCTAAGAATCTATGACATGGTGTTACCCTCTAAATAAATATTCTAATATCGATTAATCAAAAATTTGTGAAGAACACGGAGAGATGTCATGAATTTTTTTCAATATGCATGGTGTGAACCATTGAACGCATCTAATCTTATTTCTGTCACATCAATTTTGAAGACAATAATCTATTTTTCATTTTTGATAAATATGTCTATCCACTAACCACTAATTTAAACCCATTGAACGCATCTAATCTTTATTGTGTCGCATCAATTTTGAAGACTCATTTTTGATAAATATGTCTAACCACTAATTTAAACGTCATGACATTTTTTCAAAGCAATTGCTGTCGTGAACCACTGAACACATCTAACCTAATTGTGTCACATTAATTTTGAAGATTATAATCTTCTTTTCATTTTCGATAAATACGTCTAACCACGCAACTAATTTAAAACAAGAAAGCATCAACAATTATATCAGGCCAGTAAGAAGTATTTTTTTTTCTTAATTTAAGGCTTGATTTAAGAGAAACCAATGAACAAAAAATCATTCCAATTCACTCAGCAGCCAACATTTGAAATTATGGAAATCGCCTTCTTTTCTTCCTTCATTATTATTGGAAGCTCCAAGGTTGTGGTGTATACATCAGACAACTAAATGCTATAAAGAAAAAGAAAAGATAATCGAAGTATAAAGAAAATAAATGAACTAATTAAATCAATGTTTTAAAAATCGAACCCCACTCACCCAACCCATTAACCAGTCTCGTTTAGGGTTCTCTTGCGATTGAGATTTAACTTTTGACATTATCTTATACAAAATGACTGTTTTTACATCAAACATATATCTTTAGATCCAAATATCTATCATAGCACCAAATAATAACCCTCGCATACAATTTCCTAAAAATAAAATAAAAAATACAGAACAGTTAAAAGATTTATTGAGACCAGTGGCTGAACCAATGTGACCCATGTGAATAATTGATGATTGGGGAAGCCGATTATAAGCAATATTGGTGAGACATAATAGACACATGCAATGTATCAATGCGTAAAATAATTTTCCACCCTATTTGTTTTTTGTTTTTTGTTTTTTGTTTTTTTCTTTTCTTGTTATTCTCACTATTTGTTGTCAAAACATGGCTTACATGGGCACCCCACTTCCTCTCTTCTTCAAGTTAATAGAAGGCAGCATTTGACCCTAAATTTCTGGTATGACAATCTTCAAATTCTATACTTGGCTAATCCTGTGCATAACAACGCTACAATACCGTCTTTAACAGTCATGTACGTAGTAACTATAAACAATTCAATCCGGTCATAATCACACTACTCAACAAAAGGATTATCTGAGGTGTCATTAACTTTATCTGTAAAACTGTTAACTTGTTGTACTAACGAGAAGAAGAAGAAAGGACCTAGCTTGCTTGGATTCAGTACAACAGCCTATATAGTTTTTCTCCCAGTATCTCAAAGCACTTGAAGTTTGTTGAACAAAATATGGCTATAACCATCTCCAAGTGATCATTTTCAAGACCTTCAATTTTCAGAATTAGTATCCTGTGCACTGCATGACGTTGTGCATAGTGGAATGGTGGAGATCACCACACAGAGAGTGCTCCACCACATACAGAGTGGACCCTACCCCATATGGGATGTGTTAGAGGATTTTATTATTATTATTATTGAGGATAGCCTTGTTTTTTCTCTCTTTATTAGTTTAGGGTATATTATATTCTTGCATATGTACTCTAACTCTGTATTCTTATAAATAACCTACGATGTTCTTTTGATATGTAAACTTATCAAAAGACAATGTTACCCTCAATAATAATAAGAAATCCTCTAACAGGGTGATCTCCACCCTCCCCGATCACCCTGTCTGTGCATAGCACGTTGCTGTGCTTACCCAGTGCATAACATGTTGCTGAGCACATGCAGGATAGGATCTGAGTTCGAGTTCTCATCACTCATTAAATGATGGCAATGATTCTTCAATTCACCAATACAAGGAAATGGACCTCATAGTACCTTACTGAGACCTGGTGGCATGCTCTACTTGATTAAAGCTGTTTTAATTACCAAACTGGTGTGCAGTAGAAACAGTGGGAACTGAGGACCCTTGCCATTATGGTAACAATATGAGGTAGGTAGACTTCAAATCTTGAAAAGTACAGGCAGTGAAAATTGACAATGGACAGCCTGGATCTGATTAAATATGACCAGCATGTGTTAAAGGTGGGCCATGGGTGTAAATTATCCATTGCCAATCCACTTTATAAGGAGATGCAAAGGATTCTTTCCTATGCAGAAGTTATATGTTTATTTGATCTCTCTCCCTCCCCCTCTCCCTTTCTCTCTCTCTAAGCTTCCTTTCTCTCTCCGCAAATGGAGCTCATGATAATCTATTTGCTTCCTCTCTTCTATGTTATCTTTCAACTCTTCAAGTTGGTCCTCCAGTGGAGGGATCAATGCTGCTACATGATTGATTATGTATGCTACAAGGCCACCGAGGATAGGAGGCTAGACACTGAGTCATGCGCAAGCATTGTCCTGCGCAACAAGAACCTAGGCTTGGAAGAATACAGGTTTCTCTTACGAACCATCATCAGTTCTGGCATTGGTGAAGAAACTTACAGCCCAAGAAATGTCATCTTGGGTCGAGAAGAATGTCCTAATCTTGTTGAAGCGCTATCAGAGATGGACGAAATCTTGTTCGACACACTCGATAAGCTCTTTGCTAGGTCGGGGATTTCTCCATCAGAAATCGACATACTTGTCGTGAATGTGTCCTTACTCTCTACTGTGCCATCTCTAACATCTCGCATAGTAAACCGTTACAAGATGAAGGCTGACATTAAGGCCTTCAATCTTGCAGGAATGGGCTGCAGTGCAAGCCTTATTGCCATCGACCTTGTTCAGCAATTGTTCAAGTCTCACAAGGAATCATTTGCTGTTGTTGTGAGCACAGAGTCCATGGGACCAAACTGGTATTGTGGCAAAGAAAGATCTATGATGCTCTCTAACTGTCTGTTCCGTTCAGGTGGTTGTTCGATGCTCTTTACAAACAATAGAGCTCTAAAGCATAGAGCCATTTTGAAGTTGAAGCATATGGTACGTACCCATCTTGGCTCAAACGATGAAGCATATGGATGTTGCATGCAACTGGAAGATGATCGCGGCTGCCTAGGTTTTCGTCTCACCAAAGGCCTCACAAGAGCAGCTGCTCAAGCATTAACCAGGAACCTAAAAGTGTTGGTACCTAAAGTGGTACCACTACTGGAACTACTTCGTCATGTAAAAGTATCTAGCCAGTGGAAAAAGAAGAGTGATCCCACTCTGGAAGGACTTAAAGCAGGTTCAAGTCTCAAGAACAGTATCGAACACTTCTGTATACACCCGGGTGGACGTGCTGTTATTGATGAGGTTGGCAAAAGTCTAGGTCTCAGCGACTATGCTCTTGAACCAGCTAGAATGGCGCTTCATCGCTTTGGTAACACATCAGCTGGTGGCCTGTGGTACGTTTTAGGTTACATGGAGGCAAAGAGAAGGCTCAAGAAAGGTGACCAAATTCTGATGTTGAGCTTGGGAGCCGGTTTTAAATGCAATAATTGTGTGTGGGAGGTAATGAAAGACATGAAGGATGAAAATGTCTGGAAAGATTGCATAGACAGCTACCCTCCTAAAACCCTGGACAACCCTTTTATGGAGAAGTATGGTTGGATCAATGATGAATGCCTAAGTTTTATCAGAATGCCTACTACATTTCTTTAGATTTGACTTGAAGCCAATTCTCAGGGTCTTCACCAGTGTCTACTTCATGTATTTTAATTTTTTTTTGGTTTCCTTTTCTTACTTTTGCCTTTATTTTTCATCTGTGTTGCAATTTACTTACAGCTTCTAGAATACGAGTGTTGTAACAGTATGCAGTGCTTTGTGAAAAATAAAGTTACATTTAATATGTTAATGCTTAATAAGGTTCCCGTAATTTCTACATGAACCTGAGTAAATTATTATTTTCTATCAGAAATGGAGTTTTTTCATGACACTAAAATCAGCTCAGTCAACCTTGCATTGAGTGTTTACTTCTTGTTTAAGTTGCTTTTGGCGAACTGATTATTGTATTTTAAACACACACTGCATGATCAAAGCTCCAATTAGAGCATGAAATATATTTTTAAAGTGAGCAACCTAATAACACATCAGCCTTATTAACCTACAATGTTCTGTATATCTTATTAGGACTCTTCACTGATGTGTATTTGCATTTCATGATTGTAGTAATCTGATGCGACAAATACCTAGAACCAAGAATTCAATCAAGAATCACGATAGAAAAGTAAACACGCCACACACAAAGAACACAAAAATTTACATGGTTCAGTGTAAGCCTAGGTTCACGGTGAAGATCCGACGAAAGATTTCATTATGCGAAAAACAACAATCTATTGCCCATTTTTGGGTCAGAACTAGGTCGCACTGCGACCCGGGTCAAAACAAAATTTGGGCCACTACCCTTCACACAATCAACAATAGAGATCATTGTTCTGACCTTTGGCCAACTTGTAAACTTAACTAGCAAATTTCAAATGGAAATTCAATCCATGAAAGCTGGTAATTAATGTTATGTGACAAGAGAGTGGGAAGCATACCTGAAGCCATGTGCGAAGAGTTCGAAATAGAGAGCAGGTCTTAAATTCACTCTGTCATCAAGGACAGCTAATACTGGTCCTTCATCACAAACTTCCAATACTGTCTACCCTTGGTGCGAAGCCTCTCCAACACTGCTCCATGTTTGGTTACTACATCTACAAACAGCTATCGCTTATGACAGTGACAATAATTACTTATGCCACGAGCAAACTGCTGAGAAATCAAGCAATTCTATAATCAGTAACAGAAGAGAAACAGAATTATCTAACCAAGTCAGGCCACATGATAATTTATTTGTACTAATTATTTGATAACTTCCAATGAAGAAAAGAAAAATACTAACCATGGCCACCTATTCAATAGAAAATGACCATGTACGAGTACTAAATTTGTAGGTTTTAACGGTTCAAAGACACCATTGAAGATGTAAAACAGTGATTCTAGTGCCTGAAAACTAATTTAACTTGTTTAAAGCTAGCTAGCACAAAGAATAAGAATGAAATAAGTAGATTTGCAGAGTAGACTTGATTAATCCAACTGACTCTTATATAAATACAGCTTGGGCTTGTCTTCGCATCATTATAGTCCTGTGTAAGGAAATCAAGATCAAGGTCAACTTTTATTCTAATTTGTGATTTAAACCCACACTGGTATCAACAAACTTGTAAAATTATGTACTTGTAACATAATTTGTTATATTTATGGGGTTAGAATTAATTAATTTTATGCAGATCATCCGTTAACCCTGACTAACCTGAGCTGAAATTGCAACATTATGTCAAGTAAGCTTGGTTCTCTTTTTAATGAACTATCTGGATTTGAAAGATTGTCATATAATATAAAAAATAAATCCCAATATGAAATACTGTCTTTTAGTCTTACTCTCCGCCAGACAGTTGCACTAGAACACACAATTGAAGAACACTACCCCTATACTGCTCCGACGACTTTAACCGATACAATCACCAACAAATCACAACAATATTGTATCCTAATTAACCAAACAAGGGCAGTAACACTAATGAAACATAACCAAAGTAGAAGTTGATTTTAACATGGGTTCAAATATGGTCAACTCTAATTCGAGTGTGTAGAGCTGAGATTACATGTAGCCATTAGTCTCTTGCTGTGGAGGGCCAGACCCAAAAAAAAAAAAAAAAAAAAAAAAAAAATGGTGACACCCACGGATTTCCTTTTTTATCCACCAGCCATAAACTTTCCCTTCCTTCCCATCCATGTTTTCACACTGTTTGAGCATTTCTAGAATGCATTGACCATAAGAGTACAATATATCTGTTGCACAATCAATTTTCATTAAGAAACCACCTAATACTCAGTTGTGGGTCAGCAAAAGGAAATTGGTCTAAAGCTGCTGTAGCTGTCTGCACTTGAATGGGTCATTAGTAGATTACAGGATCTGAATCAAGCAATGCAGGCTTGACCGTGCTCAGCTCAATTCAATGCTAAACCAACCCCACAGAAGAAGGAAAATGAGTTTTCAAGTATAGGTCGGGCCTACGTCTAAACCCATTTTGACTCGTTCTTTCTACACTATGTAACATGGGCTTTTAAGTCCAGAAACTGTATTGGGTTAAGATTTTCTTTATAAATAGATTGTTGTTTCTAAATAAAACATAGACTTCTATATCCTTTATGCATCCACTACATGTTTAGCCACAGAAATCATTAATTTGCAGACAACACAGTAGTGAAAAATCATGTCAATCACCTAAAAGACCCTTCAAAGAAATTACTGAGTTGAACAACTTGAACTATTACTATTACAACGTCTATACCTGAGGCTTGTTGCCTGATTCAATTTATAAAAGGTTGAGCATTGGTGGTACTTGCGCGATTTTGAGCCTATAGCAGTTATTTTGGCCCATATTGAGTCCTACGTCCCAGGGACCCTGCTGTGGTGGGATAGAACTGACTAATGTCCTTTTATTACAATGTTTATACGTCTAATATTGCATTTATTTTCATTTCACAAAAGAAGAACTTATTTGAATCTACTAACTTTCATAGTTCAGAAATGAATTTACATATCCAATCACTAAGCTTAAGGGTTAGTTTGGTTTGAGAGAAATGGAAGGAGAGGAAAGGAAATGGAAGGAAACCGTCTTTTTTTATTTTTTATTTTTGGTTAAAAAATTATGGAAGAATATAAAGGAAAAGGAATATGCAACTTGAATGAAACAGGCATATGAACAACCAAGGGTAGTTGTCATATATGCAACTTGAATGAATATGTTTAATACTTCTCTTTAAAAAAAGCATATGTTTAATACCTTGGATAGAGCCGTCAGTCAAAGAATTCCATGAAGCTAAATCATGCCATGCAACCAACCTAAAAGTGTTGGTACCTAAAGTTGTACCGCTACTGGAACTACTTCGTCATGTAAAAGTATCTAGCCAGTGGAAAAAGATGAGTAATCCCACTCTGGAAGGACTTCGAGCAGGTTCAAGTCTCAAGAACAGTATCGAACACTTCTGTATACACCCCGGGTGGACGAGCTGTTATTGATGAGGTCGGCAAAAGTCTAGGTCTCAGCGACTATGATCTTGAACCAGCTAGAATGGCGCTTCATCACTTTGGTAACACATCAGCTGATGGCCTGTGGTATGTTTTAGGTTACATGGAGGCAAAGAAAAGGCTCAAGAAAGGTGACCAAATTCCGATGTTGAGCTTTGGAGACAGTTTTAAATGCAATAATTGTGTGGAAGGTAATGAAAGACATGAAGGATGAAAATGTCTGGAAAGATTGCATAAACAGCTACCCTCCTAAAACCCTGGACAACCCTTTTATAGAGAAGTAAGGTTGGATCAATGATGAATGCCTAAGTTTTATTAGAACGCTACATTTAATTAGATTTGACTAGCATTTTATTAGAATGCTACATGTATTGATATATATATATATATATATATATATATATATTTTTTGTTTCCTTTTCTTATTTTTTCCTTTATTTTTCATCTGTGTTGCAATTTACTTATAGCTTCTAGAATACAAGTGTTGTTACAGTATGCAATGATCTGTGAAAAATAAAGTTAGATTTAATATGTTAGTGCTTAATAAGGTTCCCGCAAGTTCCACATGAACCTGAGCAAATTATTATTTTCATCAGTAATAGAGTTTTTCCATGATACTAAAACCAGCTCAATCAACCTTGCATTGAGTTTTTACTTCTTGTTAAAGTTGCTTTTGGTGAACTGTTTATTGTATTTTAAACACACACTGCATGATCGAAGTTCCAATTAGAGAGTGAAACAAATTTTTAAAGTGAGAAACCTAATAACACATCAGCATTATTTAACCTACATGTTCTGTATATCTTATTAGGACTCTTCGCTGATGTGTATTTGCATTTCATGATTGTAGCAATCTCTTGCGACAAATACCTTGAATCAAGAATCATGAAAGAAAAGTTAACACGTCACACTAAAAAGAACACAAATTTACGTGGTTCGGCGTAAACCTACGTCCAAAGTGAAGATCCAACGAAAGATTTCAGTATGCGAAAAACAACAATCTATTGCCCATTTTTGGGTGGGAAATAGGTCGCACTGTGACCTGGGTTAAAACAAAATTCGGGCCGCTACCCTTCACACAATCAACAATAGAGATCATTATTCTGACATTTGGCCAACTTGTAAGCTTAACTAACAGATTTCAAATGGAAATTAAATCCAAGAAAGCTGGTAATTAATGTTTTGTGACAAGAGAGTTGGAAGCACACCTGAATTCATGTGCGAAGAATTTGAAATAGAGAGCAGGTCTTAAATTCACTCAGTCATCAAGGACAGCTAATAGTACTGGTCCTTCATCAGAAACTTCCAATATTGTCTACCCTTGGTACTAAGCCAAAGACACCATTGAAGATGTAAAACAGTGATTCTAGTGCCAGAAAACTAATTTGACTCGTTTAAAACTAGCTAGCACAAAGAGTAAGAATGAAATAGGTAGATTTGCAGAGTAGACTCGATTAATCCAACTGACTCTTATATCAATATAGCTTGGGCTCGTCTTCACATCATTATAGTCCTGCGTAAGGAAATCAAGATCAAGGTAAACTTTTATTCTAATTTGTGATTTAAACCCAACACTGGTATCAACAAACTTGTAACATTATGTATTTGTAACATATTATATTTATGGGGTTAGAATTAATTAATTTTATGCAGATCATCCGTTAACCACTAACCTGGGCTGAAATTGCAAAATTATGTCAAGTAAGCTTGGTTTTCTTTTTAATGAACTATTTGGATTTGAAAGATTGTCATACAATATAAAAAATAAATCCCGATATGAAATACTGT